ATTAGGATTTCATAAATCAATAATTGTACTACAAGGGTATTATTTTCCCTGAGATTGTTAGTCTTCACTGATTATCCACTGGTATTAGGGTACAACTGGCAGACTTCCAAGGAAAATCATATTTTTTTTAATTTGTACATTGATCTACAAAATAGGCACTGAGCGATTTGTAGCCTCTACCAGGTGAATAACTGCCAGGTGATTTGTTCAGGGATATAATGCTGAAGCACAGAATGTCAACATACCGTACTCATGTAACTAAACAATCCCCAGGAGTGTGGATTCTGAATAATGTTTTGTTTTGTTTAAATGGGAATTTATCAAGACATTTTTAAATAATATATTTCTGATTTATGTCAATCTCCGTTGCTGCATCAACTGGCTTGGGAACAGTTATACCCTTACTCACCTTGAATAGCACAATAGTACAAAGAATCCTATTGAAGTCAATGGGTCTAATCATGAGCTAAAATATGAAGAACATAGCATAAAAGCAATAGGGCCAAATTATGGCTGTTCCTGTGCTGATATGCTGGACAGAGAGGTTGCAGGAAGCCTCTCAGCCCCCCTCTACCCCATATTTGCAACTGAAAAGCAGCCATAATTTGGTTGCAAGCAATCCTGATCCTGGGGAGTGTGTGGGGTGGCTTTCATTATTGAGTCAGAATGTGTGGTCTGGCTGCAGTGACCAAAGGTTATTCTCCATTTTGGGACACAGGACTCTGACCTGCAGGGGGCAGAACAGGGACAGAACATTTGGCCAAACACAGATTTAGTTATATTCTACTAAAGCAGGTTATATTCTACTAAAGTCTATGGAGCTGTAGCCACTGACATGAAAACTGAATGTGTTGGAGTATCCCAAAGATGAAAAATGACGGGGGGCCTCAACTGCTGTTTATGGGCTTCTCATCACCAGTGAAACAGGGGCAGGCTGTAAGTGTGGTTTAAACTGGCTAAAGCTTAGTGCAGTCTTTCATTGCTGTGTTACATAATGCTTACCTAAAAATAGTGTAATTGTTAAATACAAGCTGTCCATATCTTAATAAGAATGACAACAACACAGGGAGAGGGGAAACTAGTTCTGATGGCAGTGTTTACTGCCCTTGATGGGACATGTTATGGTGGGAATCCAGACATTCCTCACTACACACACACACACACACACACACACACACACACACACAAGAGTGAGAGAAAGAACTGGCAAAGCACCACTGTGGTGAGTGCATGCCCTTATTCAGATATAGTGTTCCGTCTCCAGTGCTCTTGGCATCATTATGTCTTACACAGGCATACCATTTAGTTGGTATGCTTCCTTCCCCTTACCCCATCTCCAGTTTTGAGGATTGTTCAAGTTTATATGACATGAAATACAACCCATAAAGAACGGATATATTTTATTGCTCAAATTTTTATCTGTTAAATGGCAAAGCGCTTTAGACAATGACCACATTTCATAGAATCATAGAATCATAGAATATCAGGGTTGGAAGGGACCCCTGAAGGTCATCTAGTCCAACCCCCTGCTCGAAGCAGGACCAATTCCCAGTTAAATCATCCCAGCCAGGGCTTTGTCAAGCCTGACCTTAAAAATCTCTAAGGAAGGAGATTCTACCACCTCCCTAGGTAACGCATTCCAGTGTTTCACCACCCTCTTAGTGAAAAAGTTTTTCCTAATATCCAATCTAAACCTCTTCCCCACTGCAACTTGAGACCATTACTCCTCGTTCTGTCATCTGCTACCATTGAGAACAGTCTAGAGCCATCCTCTTTGGAACCCCCTTTCAGGTAGTTGAAAGCAGCTATCAAATCCCCCCTCATTCTTCTCTTCTGCAGGCTAAACAATCCCAGCTCCCTCAGCCTCTCCTCATAAGTCATGTGTTCTAGACCCCTAATCATTTTTGTTGCCCTTCGCTGGACTCTCTCCAATTTTTCCACATCCTTCTTGTAGTGTGGGGCCCAAAACTGGACACAGTACTCCAGATGAGGCCTCACCAATGTCGAATAGAGGGGGACGATCACGTCCCTCAATCTGCTCGCTATGCCCCTACTTATACATCCCAAAATGCCATTGGCCTTCTTGGCAACAAGGGCACACTGCTGACTCATATCCAGGTTCTCGTCCACTGTCACCCCTAGGTCCTTTTCCGCAGAACTGCTGCCTAGCCATTCGGTCCCTAGTCTGTAGCTGTGCATTGGATTCTTCCATCCTAAGTGCAGGACCCTGCACTTATCCTTATTAAACCTCATCAGATTTCTTTTGGCCCAATCCTCCAATTTGTCTAGGTCCTTCTGTATCCTATCCCTCCCCTCCAGCGTATCTACCACTCCTCCCCGTTTAGTATCATCCGCAAATTTGCTGAGAGTGCAATCCACACCATCCTCCAGATCATTTATGAAGATATTGAACAAAACCGGCCCCAGGACCGACCCTTGGGGCACTCCACTTGATACCGGCTGCCAACTAGACATGGAGCCATTGATCACTACCCATTGAGCCCGACAATCTAGGCAGCTTTCTACCCACCTTATAGTGCATTCATCCAGCCCATACTTCCTTAACTTGCTGACAAGAATACTGTGGGAGACCGTGTCAAAAGCTTTGCTAAAGTCAAGAAACAATACATCCACTGCTTTCCCTTCATCCACAGAACCAGTAATCTTATCATAAAAGGCGATTAGATTAGTCAGGCATGACCTTCCCTTGGTGAATCCATGCTGGCTGTTCCTGATCACTTTCCTCTCATGCAAGTGCATCAGGATTGATTCTTTGAGGACCTGCTCCATGATTTTTCCAGATTTCCAAAATTTTTCCAAATTTTCTATCTAATTTCTAGATTAGATAACACAATCAGGTGTTAAAGCATTTCATTTGCTGAATAAAGTGGATGGCAACATTCAGCCATGATGGAGACGAATGACAGCTTCATTCTCAGCACCATTGGATGAAGGTAATTATTGCTGCTGTCATAGTCCTGCCACAAATTGGTTAGTCTCTAAGGTGCCACAAGTACTCCAGTCCTGCCACAGATCACTGCCTGTAGAATAGCCCCACCCCTACTGGAAAAATATGGTTGTCAGAACTGAATCATTTTTTCCCCTCTGCAGCTGTCCAAAATGATTAAAAGATTTTGTATTTTAAGACCCTTTTTCATAATATTATTAACATGGAAAACAGTTAATGAGCCATTATTAAGTTGGATGTCCCATTTGTGCTCCCTGTTAATAGGATAATAAACTAATGGAAAACTCTTTCTTGCAGCTTTGACAATACATAGCTAGATGTTGTTAATATATTTTAGATTGCATTTTGTGTTAACCATGTTGATAGATTAATTACAACTAAAAACCGTAAAGCTGAAATAATCCTGTTATGACTCATTTGTCTGTGTCATACTTTTTGTTCTCTCTTGGTATACACTAAACAGAAAGCAACATGTCATAAGGCAGAATAAATGTTGGCAACAGGTGATCAGGAATATATAAGTTACAGACAGCGGAGTTTTTATTGGTCTTAAAGTGGCACTTTTTATTTTGTATTAAACACACAAAATTCAGCAATCTGACAGATAGGAAAGATGTATTGCCTATAATCTGTAATTAGTCTTTATTCTCATTTTGTCAATATACTACTATATATTTGTATATTCTCCAGTATCTTTAAGCAGTTTTTGAGTTGAGTATATCTTGTACAACTAAAAGGACTTAATGAAGCTTTAGTTTCTTTTCCATCATTGAGAACTGGGAATGCAGAGGAAATATGGCAACAAAATGTATCTCTCATGCTTTGCACCAATGTTTTCATTAAAATTAAGTTGATGTATCTTAATAGTGAAATCTACTGATGATGCAAAATGAATCTGTTTACATGCAGGACTGGACTGAACTGAACTAATTTAAGATAAAAGTATTTACACATAGATATATAATAAAAATAAAGACCACTTTCAAGTTTGTAGAATTGCCCTGATTATTGGGAGAGGAGGGGAAAATATTGGCAAAATTAGTTTATCTATACATATGTTTATTAAACTATAAAATCATCAAAGGGGACACGTACCTTCCATTTCCCAATGTTCCTACAACTGAAAGGGGAGTGGGTGTGCTCCGTGCTGCTTCACTCCTAACAACTCAGTCCCTTGCCCTCTCTCTGTTCTACACCTGGGCATGAAGCAGTCGATCTAACGGGACCAGAGTCTGTGCTGAGCTTCCCTCCTCCTCCCCTCATTCCCTAGGTTGGGCTCTCTTCCACCACCACTCCCAGGGTCACATCTGCAGGCAAAACAATGCTCAGTCACAGCCTCACCCATCTCCTTCAGCCAGCTCACTGGTCAGGCATCCTGTGGGACAGGGCTTCTCCCCTGTGTATGGCTCTGCTCCGGCTGCCAGCAAAAGTCCAGCCAAAGTCAACAGGCAATTTTCTACTTTCCCCATGTCTCCCACCCTCCCAGAGATGAAATGTGGGGAGATCAGGGTCTCCCCCCCCCCGCACCTTTAAATTGTCCCCCCACAGTATCAAGAGTTAAGCCTAGTCTCTGAAAAACATTAATGTATAGCTGATCTTCTGATTGTTCATTTCTGAGTTTTTCAATCGTGAATTTCACCCAAGTTTACCAAAAGATTATTATTTGAATTCTATTGTTATTATTAGACATGTGCAACAAAAAATTGCCTTAATTTCAAGTTGCAGACATAAATTTCTTACTGACTCCAACAGGAGTTACGAATACACAGCAAATGCAGGACTGTGCTTTGAGTATGGAAGAAACAAAATGTACTCTTGTGAACTCTCCAGGCAGAGAGAATTTCTGATTCAGATCTTAAGAATAATATTTATATCTTACAAGTATTTCTGAGGTGTTCACAGATAATAATCATCATCTGATACCATAACAAATCTGTTTTTATTTCTTTTCCTTTCCGGTTCCTGAATCCCAGATTTAAGTATGTTTTATTTTAAAAATGTATCCAGGCTTTCATTTCAAATATAAAGAATATCAGGGTCTTAGGATTTTATGTACTTAAGAATGTGTGAAAACATAATGGTAGTAGTCACAGTTTAAGGCCACTGCACCTCTATTTCCCTTCAGTGGTCCAACAACTACACCCACTCTCAGGCTTTCGGCTCCCCAGCTGATTCCTTTCTTGGGTAGGGACCCGCATCTCTCTTCCTTCTGATCAGGTTATTTCCAGGCTGCACACTTCCCTGCCTTCACTGCTGCTTTAGCATAGCGGCATGCTTTCTCTGCTGAGACCGATAACAGAGTGACTGTCAACAGTTATATGTTACCATACAGTTCCTTCTACACAAGCATGTTTTAAAAGCACTACAGAAAAAAAAAACATATTAAAAACAATACAAGAACCTACACACAGACTAATAAGTTTACCAGAGATCATCTCAGCCATAACATGGGTTCTGGCAGAAGCAGTTCTTCCTAACCCCAGCCAAGGGTTTTCATTTGTCCTCACAAGTTCATCACATCTTCAGGTCAACCCAAGCGCACTCATAACAAGTTTAGTCCACCCTTTATATGTTATAGGGGTCTCTGATTTGGAGTTTCCAGTGGCAGGTAATTAGTAGGCAAAGGATTTTCTCCCCAGGGTGCAGCTTTAAAAGGATAGATGTGACGTGGGTCACTTGCATTCCCCTTACATTGTTCCCAAAAGCCCATTGAAATTCCTAATACCTTTCAGAGATTGCATTAGTCAGTTTCCTAGAGACAGCACAAACATACAATTCCACAATAAAACATACACAGTTGTATTTATAATATAGTGGCCCTAAAGGTATTAAAATTACTGGATTAAGTTAAACTTTATTGAATTAAAGTTGAGATTAAACTAGCTAGAGAGACATAAAGGGTAACAAGAAAACATTCTACAAATATATTAGACACAAGGGGAAGTGCCATTACTCAGAGAGGGGGGTAAGACAGTAACAGAAAATGTGGAAATGTCGTAAGTTCTAAATGATTTTTTTGTTTGTTTCAGTTTTCACTAAAAAGATTTCAGAGTAGCAGCCGTGTTAGTCTGTATTCGCAAAAAGAAAAGGAGTACTTGTGGCACCTTAGAAACTAACCAATTTATCTGAGCATAAGCTTTCATGAGCTACAGCTCACTTCATCGGATGCATTCAGTGGAAAATACAGTGAAAAGATTTATATACACACAAAACATGAAAAAATGGGTGTTATCATACACACTGTAAGGAGAGTGATCACTTACGATAAGCTATTACCAGCAGGAGGGGGGGGAGAAGAAAACCTTTTGTAGTGATAATCAAGGTGGGCCATTTCCAGCAGTTAACAAGAAGTCTGAGGAACAGTGGGGGTGGAGGGGGATAAACATGGGGAAATAGTTTTACTTTGTGTAATGACTCATCCACTCCCAGTCTCTATTCAAGCCTGAGTTAATTGTATCCAGTTTGCAAATTAATTCCAATTCAGCAGTCTCTCGTTGGAGTCTGTTTTTGAAGTCTTTTTGTTGTAATATTGCGACTTTTACGTCAGAGATCAAGTGACCAGAGAGATTGAAGTGTTCTCCGACTGGTTTATGAATGTTATAGTTCTTGACATCTGATTTGTGTGCATTTATTCTTTTACGTAAGTCAACTCTTTTTTTTCTTTTCTATGGTTTTTAAACACTCTCCTCTTTGCCCTAAATAAAATATTCAATCAGAAGAATTATTTTCCTTTATCTTCTGAAGGCTAGAAGATTCTTTATGGAAAACATATTTTAGAAAAGTAGAATGTTCCTATTTATTATAGTGAATGTGGGGTATGAGTGAGAGAGGTGGGGGGGTCATGCAAAGTGGGAACTGCACCTGTGAATCCTGATCTAACACCCCTGGAAATCAGTGGAAAGATTCCCATTGACTGTAGTGGACATTGGATGAGAAGTTCTGGCTTTCAGTTAAAAAGTGTAATTCCAGAATAACTGGAGTAATTCCAGATATATATCTTGTAAATGAAAGCAGTGTTTGATATATAGTAACTATTTTTTTAATTTGAATTATCATTACCCTAATACCTCCCAAAGATTCCCTTCTTCTTCAACGGCCACTACTAACTGGCCACCTCATAACAGAATGGCTGTAGACTAATTTGAAAAAGTCTATAAAATATACATCAATAAATTGTGTTAAAATTTTGTATTACCAGGTCATGGTCAATCACTAGCTGGCGATCTTACAAGTTTGTTGGTCCTTATCCTGCATGTAACTGTTTTATTTAAACTGTGTTTCATACAGATCCAGGATGAGACAGAGAAAATTTGTTTCAAAAACACATGTGCACAAGAGTGATCTCTCAGGCACAAAGCATATATTGGTATTCAAATCCTTTCCCACTATACAGTATTCCAATTTCTTACAGAAATACTTATAAACCTGTAGATCTCAAGAATGAAGCATTCTACTTCCTACCACCTGTGGGGTTTTAAAAAGTGTTCTAAATAGCTCAGATTTGACTTAAGGAAGGTTACCCTCTATCAATGTCTTTGTGGAAGCCAGCTTTCCTGCACAGACTTTATCTTTATATGGTTATATGACAAGAGACATCTTTCAGTTTTACTAATCTATTATGCAAAAATATTTCTGCATATGAATCTGCATGGGTTCCTTTGTACTGTGTATGCTATACTTCTAATGATTCCTAATTATTTCTTTATCAAATGTAACAGAAAATGCTCCAGATTCTCATATTTATGGGTACTCTCAAAGAAGTTGATGGATTTATATGCATGAGTAAGGCAAGTAGAATTTGAACCAAACACTAACTATTAATAGCAGTATTATGACCCAGTTCAATAAAGCACTTAAACATGCATGCAACTTTAAGTGTGTGAGTAATCCCATTAACTTCAATGAGAATATTCACATGGGCAGAGTTAGGCATAAGATTTTCTGAATCAGTGTTTATATAAAGCATAAACAACCTTAAACTGGAGCTGGAAGGTCCAAAAAGATTAGCTAATAAATGGAAGATATTTTATTTACCTACTCCTGTTCCTGTTACAAATAAAGCTAGATAAATATAGCTAAGCAATTACTTGACCCTATTATGCATTGCATTCTTTTTCAATAGTGAGGACATCGTATCATAGTATGTGATATTCCACTCAGTCAAGGCCACATGCTGGCTTTCTGACGTTGTTGAAAATAACTGTTTGACATGTTTTTTACTTCCCTGAGAGGCATACTTCTCTCATGGTTTGCACAAGTAATTTCAGTTCTCTTATATTCTCACACATGACATTATGGAGAGAGTTTAAATAAGGATTTCTAAGCTGGTAACAGCTTTTGCTGATATAATTTAAATACAGAAACAATCCATTCCATCAGTGCTTAGATGGAAAGCTGATGGATTCTTTAAAGGTACCTCAACAGAAACAGCTTATATTTTCTTTTCACTTGTTTTTTCCACAGTTTTATATGCCACATTTGCTAAGTGTTGAAGTTATTTGCAATCAGACACGGTTAGCTGATTTCCAAATCATCTTCTCTGTCTTACTTAATCCTACAGTTAGATCAGCATGCCAAATTTTTGATGCTACAAACATATTCATGACCCAAAGAAACAGGACAAATGGATCTTAAGCCGTGCATAGGCCTTGTGTTGGCTCACTGAATGGGGTGAATTTCCCACATTGATTTTATTGTTTTTAATGAATGTGAAAAATATTAGTGCACATCTATGTCAATCACAGATGTAAATACTAAGGACCAGATCCTCAGTAGATGTAACTCAGTAGTTCCATTGACTTCAGTGAAACAGTGCTGATTTACACCTGCTGCATGTCTGGTCCCAAACGTTTTACTGTAATTTACTAATTGAGTTATGTGTTCAAAGTCCTGCAATGAGCACCTCAAATTCAGATGATGCTCCTGAATGCTAGATTTCACATATGTGTCTCTGAGTTAACTGAAGAAAGTGTAAAAAGTCAGGTATCCAAATACAGCTTACTATACATACATAAAAACTCAGCTACCTAAACTATTGTAGCCAAAATCTGAAATAAGTTACACTCAAGAAATATGGTACAGTTACACCTGTTTGAGACATCGGAAAGGAAAGAATTTCTGCACAGGGCTGAAATATCTCTCTCATTCTATCCATGCTCATTTGGAGGTCTGCCATCCATCAGAAATATGGAAGTCATGCAGACAGGGCTTTTGGGATAAGAGCAGAATATAATATGTCAAATATTTCAAATTGCTCACAGTTTGCAGCCCTTCTAACACATAAATTATTGTATTTAGTGAAGTGGGGCATCAGCAGACGTATGGACATAATGTGTGTGTGCAAATATTTTTGCTGATTTTAATCTAGTGAATTTAACAGTATCCAGGCACTGAACATATACTGCATTTGAGATTCTGGAAGTTTTACAGAATTAGTGTATGATAACACTACTCTTACATTTCAGTTGAAACCCAGCTTGATCTAATAAGAGCTAAGAGCTAGAATCACACTGGACAAAAATTGATAATTAACAGAAACAAGAACATTTTTATAATTTAGCCACTATAACACTATCCCAAGTAAATAGTTAGTGTTGGGAGAGCCTGTAACAGGAACAAGAGGTGGGAACATTACTGATGGAATATAATATTTCTCTTCGCTCTTTTGTAATTGAAGAGAAGGTTACTCACCTTGTGTAGTAACTGAGGTTCTTTGAGATGTGTGTCTCTGTGGTTGCTCCACTTTAGGTGTTTGTGTGCCCCTGAGCTCGTAGTTGGAGACTTTTGGTAGCAGTGCCCAGTTGGGTTGCACATGCGTGGTCCCTGTCTCGCACTGTTCCAGACAGCTAACTCATGCTGTGTGACCAGCCTCCACTCTGTTCCTTCTCTACTACAGAGACAGATTAAGAAAACTCCAAAGTAGAGTAGTGGTGGAGCATCCATAGAACACACATCTCAAAGAACCTCAGTTACTGCACAAGGTGAGTAACCTTCTCTTCTTCTTCTTCGAGTGCTGTCCATGTGGGTGCTCCACTTTAGATGGCTTCAGAGCATTGACCTCCAATGGCAGAAGGGGGCTTCGGAGTTGAAGTTGTGACAGACGACAGTACAGAGCGTCTGAATGAGGTATCAGATGTAGCCCGTTGCCCTAAGGTGTAGTGCTGTAAAAAGGTATGGGGTGAGGCCCAGGTAGCAGTTCTACAAATGCCCGTGATGGGTACATTGTGCATAAAAGCAGTGGAGGCTGATAGGGCTCCTGCTACAAATCCCTGTGTGGCGTTGGTGGTCACAATGATGATTGCATAAAACTCTGCTATCGGAGGTCCACTTGGATAGTCTTTGTTTAGAGATGGTGCTCCCTTTGAAACATTTGGTCATGGATACGAACAGTCTGGGTGCTTTATGGAACGGTCTAGTTCTGTCTATGTAAAAAGCCAATGCCCTCTGAATATCAAGAGTATGAACTGTGTAATATGTTCTATCCGTATGAGGTTTAGGGTAGAACAGGGGTCAGCAACCTTTGGCATGCAGCTCATCAAGG